AGTAAGTGGAACGCATCAGACAGGTCTACGAGCATATAGACCAATCTGCCTTAAGCGTCTGTACACGGTCTGCCTTGAAATTTTAGTACCAGTGGCTGAAGAGAGCTGACGAGACAGGTCTGAGGCTGTGTTCCGTCTGTTTCTTTTGGCAGTAACTGCCAAATACCGGTCCTCATTCGGGGTTGTAACTCTCGGGCGACCTGTGTTGTAATGTCTACTCACATTACCATCATCTTGGAATCGTTGCCAAAGCCTGGAGATGACACTCTGGGCAATTCCAAGTTCGTCTGATACTTCCAGTTGGGTACGCCCACATTCCAGACGACCGATAATTCTACTACGTAAAAAATCATCCAAATGCGTCCTTTTGTGTCATAACTATTCGGTTATTGCACTGAAATGCTTATAAAGCGCCTGCGAACAATTTGACTTCTTTGTCTGTGTTCCTTATAATCACTCTCTTACACTTTCGTCATTGGGACGTACCATCGGTGTCATCTGGTTACTTCCTGAAATTTGCATATGAATCTTGAAGATGTGTGTAGTGATTTTACAGGTGATATATTTATTTTAGAGTTCGATTTCCGCGTGACTCCGAATTATCCTTAATTTATGGACATAAGTGCACATTAGATATACGCATACATTAGAATGTATACAAAAGACGTATGCCATATTTAAGCATAGTGATTACGCTGCTGATGACCAGGGTATGCAGGGTGATTTACAGTACAGGTAACATATAATCACATGTTACGTCGTTACAATTACACATACATTACAGTTATTTGTATTACACAGACATTACAGTTACTTTGCAATACGCATGCATTACAATATTCTTACATTATAAATACATTAGAAATTACACATACATTACGATATACGCTATACACTAAACGTATGCCGTGTTTACGCGTAGGGATTATGCAGGTGACCAGGGTATGCGGGATGGTTATAAAAGTTCAGATAACGTGGTAACGTCACAGTCACCTGATACATGGTTACAATTATACATACTTTAACAGTTATTTTGTTATTACATATACATTACAGTTATTTTGCAATTACACGTACATAACAATACTCTTACATTATAAATATATTAGAATTACACATACATTACAATATAAGCTAAGCAATAAACGTATGCCGTATTTAAGCAATTACACATACATTACAGTTATTTTGCAATTACACGTACATTACAATACTCTTACATTATAAATATATTAGAATTACACATACATTCCAATATAAGCTAAGCAATAAACGTATGCCGTATTTAAGCATTACACATACATTACAGTTATTTTGCAATTACACGTACATTACAATACTCATACATTATAAATATATTAGAATTACACATACATTACAATATAAGCTAAGCAATAAACGTATGCCGTATTTAAGCAATTACACATACATTACAGTTATTTTGCAATTACACGTACATTACAATACTCTTACATTATAAATATATTAGAATCACACATACATTACAATATAAGCTAAGCAATAAACGTATGCCGTATTTAAGCAATTACACATACATTATAGTTATTTTGCAATTACACGTACATTACAATACTCTTACATTATAAATATATTAGAATTACACATACATTACAATATAAGCTAAGCAATAAACGCATGCCGTATTTAAGCAATTACACTACATTACAGTTATTTTGCAATTACACGTACATTACAATACTCTTACATTATAAATATATTAGAATTACACATACATTACAATAAAAGCTAAGCAATAAACGCATGCCGTATTTATTTAAGCAATTACACATACATTACAGTTATTTTGCTATTACACGTACATTACAATACTCTTACATTATAAATATATTAGAATTACACATACATTACAATATAAGCTAAGCAATAAACGCATGCCGTATTTAAGCAATTACACATACATTAGTTATTTTGCAATTACACGTACATTACAATACTCTTACATTATAAATATATTAGAATTACACATACATTACAATATAAGCTAAGCAATAAACGCATGCCGTATTTAAGCAATTACACATACATTACAGTTATTTTGCAATTACACGTACATTACAATACTCTTACATTATAAATATATTAGAATTACACATACATTACAATATACGCTAAGCAATAAACGCATGCCGTATTTAAGCAATTACACATACACTACAGTTATTTTGCAATTACACGTACATTACAATACTCTTACATTATAAATATATTAGAATCACACATACATTACAATATAAGCTAAGCAATAAACGTATGCCGTATTTAAGCAATTACACATGCATTACAGTTATTTTGCAATTACACGTACATTACAATACTCTTACATTATAAATATATTAGAACTACACATACATTACAATATAAGCTAAGCAATAAACGTATGCCGTATTTAAGCAATTACACATACATTACAGTTATTTTGCAATTACACGTACATTACAATACTCTTACATTATAAATATATTAGAATCACACATACATTACAATATAAGCTAAGCAATAAACGTATGCCATATTTAAGCAATTACACATGCATTACAGTTATTTTGCAATTACACGTACATTGCAATACTCTTACATTATAAATATATTAGAATTACACATACATTACAATATAAGCTAAGCAATAAACGCATGCCGTATTTAAGCAATTACACATACATTACAGTTATTTTGCAATTACACATGCATTACAATATTCTTACATTAAAAATACATTAGAATTACACATACCTTACAATATACACTATACAGTAAGCGAATGCCATTTTTATGCATAGTGATTATACAGATGACCAGTGTATGCCCAGCACACATTCAAAGGTTATTTTTATGATGATGATATTGTTAGCTGATGACATAATTACGTAATGACATTATTATGCATAGCGCCCGCACAGTACACTCACAGAGAGAGAAGTTTTACAGGCCAGTGAGTTGCTATATAGTGGAATACAGTGTAGGTAGCATTAGCACACAGAGCATTCATGTTTAGTACAGGTGACAGGTAACAGCAGGACAGGGCACCCGGACGGCTTTCTATGACTACTCGGGTGTTACCCTGCCCCTGTAATCATCTAGAGACTTAGCCCACCAGCGGCCGAGCGGTAAAGTCTCTGAAAACTGGTAGTTCGGTCCGAGGTTCGAATCCCGCGAACGGGCTGGCTGCATGGGCGTTTACGTGGTTTTCCCCATGTGTAACGTGTATACGAGCCAGTTTCCCTTAGAAAGTCCTCACGAAGGCATCCCTTCTCTTAGGCAGATAGCCCTCGAGGCTTTGCCATAATCACACACACACATCTAGAGACTTAACAGTTGTAAGACGCTTAACAGATGTGTGCTCAATACATGTCACGTTACATCTACAGTGTTACATGTGCACTGTCCGTTACTGTGTGTAACTGTTTTTAGTTATTCATGTTTAGTACAAGTGACAAGTGACGGAGGACGCGGGCACTGTACCATTAGGTTAATCGGTATAGCACCGCGTCCACCCCTGTCTAGAGACAACACCAAAAAGAGGAGATCTTTACATGAGAGCCCCCCGGCGCCGAAGCCCAACGTCGGATCCAGGCCCCTGTGCCGTTCACTACCTAAAGAGCCACTGGGAATTTATTAAAAATCAAATAAAAATTACATGTCTAAACAAGGGTTAATAATGACAAAACAAATAATAAACATAAATATTATATGAGATAATATTAAATATGCTTAAGTTAGCCAGATATAATAAGAAATGGTTGAAATAGTAAGTAACTATATGATAATAATTAAATACAATAAATATGGAATACAAGAAGAATTATAATAACATAAAGGTTTTAACATAGGGGAACGGCACCAAGAGGGCATGAAACGTTACAAATAGGATTACAAGTATTGAAGTACCAAGGACATTAAAGGTTGGAAATTAACATTCCAAGTGAGAGTAGCCGGTTTTGTTAAAATGCAATATATAAAAGATACACATCACTATAAGTACAATATAGATGGTATATATCGACGGTATACTTTCAACTCCAACAGTGCAATAGAATAATAAATTAAAAATACAATGCAGGTAATGTTTCGGTGTGTCTCTCCCATGGTTAGTACAGCAGAAACCTACAAATAAGAACAAAAAAGGGGGGATCGTCCTTAAAGAAGGTGTTCGAAATTACGATACCGGACCGTGATACTGGCCTCACATTTCCACATGGAAGATCTACATCACGAATAGAAGATTCATGACGCGCGGTTCCTGCATCACTGTCCGAGTCGTAATTTCGAGGACATTCTTTGATGGTGATCGCTGTCTATTTATATTGTTTTTTTCTGTGTTTTTGTTGCAATTTTGTTGAAAGTCCGTTTTTGTTGTAAGTTGTTTCCAAATAATAAACATGTTTTCTTACCCCGTTCGTGTCCGTCTTTTCTTTTTGTGACGTCATCACCGCGCCAGGAAATCGTTTCCGACCATGCATTCCTATCTGATTTCCCATCGTCTAGGTGTACTCTGTCTCTCCTGAAAATTTGTCAGCGCTATATTGATACACGTTATAGAATACTGGGTCTTATAATCGTATGGCAGACTCTTTAAAGTTGTTTTTTCTTCGTTTTTGTTGTCATTTTGTACTAAGTTGTTTCCGAATAATAAACGTGTTTTCTCACCCCGCTCGTCTCCTTTCTTTTTTGAATTATATGTCGTCACTACCGCGCCAGGAAAGCGTTTCCGACAATGCATTCCTATGTGATTTCCCATCGTCTAGGTGTACTCTTTCTATCCCGAAAGTTTGTCAACAATATACTGATACACCCTGTATATTTACATTGTTATCATATTAAATCTACTGAAACATTTCTCCAAATGTAATTTCAAAATATTGTTTTTGTTACATTATCGTCACTTTTCTGTTAATGAAAAGGCATATTTCATATCGTTCTGTGACTCCTTTAATCACATAAGTCTCTCTTTCTCTTTTTAGAATGTCCCGAGATTGTACAGGTACACTCTGTACGATATTGGACTCATCATCGAAAAATTAATGGGAGGAGCGTACAGATCATCTTACTGCAGAAGAAAATTTCGTCATCTGTACAACAACGTGATGAGGAAAATAATTGCCGTCAGTGCTGTAAGTGCTTCCAAATAAATTTTTAAAATTTCAGATCGACATAAATCGAAAAATGCATTTTTGATTTGCTTATTTTGTAATAAATAGCATTAGCTCGTAAAAGGCTGAATTTAAACGAATTTCAATTATTTAAAATTGTTTGTGCTATTCGTTTCCTAATTCCTGTTACGTAGATTTGATTTACTAAACGAAATTTATGAGAAGCGAAATTATACCCTTATGATCTACATACACCTTAAAACCCTTATGATCTTCGAATATGTGACTGTTTCAAGAATTGGGATATTTTATTTGTTTTAATAGTAATTACTTCCAACTATTTACAGCTGACTACGTAATTATAGCTGTTTTGGAAACTTGTAACCAGAAAGTTTGTGTTGCCACAAATAGTTTTGTAATTTATTCCGCTTTGGGACAAAATGTTTCGTCATTATTCCACCTTGCGCGCATGATATATTAAAAATGGCTAACGGTACGTACTTGAAATTGGATGGAATTCTTTATATGAGCACTATTTTTTAACTGAACCAAAAATCTGATAAACATTTTGATATTAAAAAGATTTTATGGACAAAAACATTACAGAATTTTTTTAATAAAATACATTTTATAAACTCAACTCCAAATAAAATTAAAATTTAACATGAAATTCTTAGATTTTTGGTTCACAGTCGTTTCCAAATGTTATAAAAGTGTATATTAAATATGGAATTGAATTATGAAACAGAATGTTTTAAACCGTGCGCGCAAGTTGGAAACATGGCGAAAAATTTTGTCACAAAGCGATTAAATTATAAAATATTTGTGGCAACACAAACTTTCTGATTACTATTTCAGAAAGCAGCTATGTTATGTAGTGAGCCATAAAAAGTTGGAAGTAATGGCTTTTAAAATAAATAAGTTTTCTCAATTCTTGCAACAGTCACATATTCGAAGATCATAAGGGTTTTAAGGTGTACAAGTCCCCTTAACAGAAATACTATATGATTTTCAATTTCGTTTCAGACACCTACTCTCAGCCAAACTATTAACACGAATGCTATCAACTCTCCTTGCGAGACAGCGTGCCTCCGCGATCTCAGGTTCAACTACCCCTTCAACGAACTATTGTTGTGGGCAGTTCTCACCAACCGCCAAAAGATGGCGCTCTTCATGTGGCAAAATGGCGAAGAAGCTATTGTTAAGGTGAGTTGAGAAATCTTTCATTCCCCGTTTTATGTTTTCTCCTATTGTCTTGCTTATCTGAAACTCGGACGTACTTATTGCTTCCTTATCAGAATCTTCTGCTAAAAGCCCACCTTGGACAAAGCTTTTTTCTTCCAGAAACTTTCCTTTATATTTTTATTTACAAGATTTTTTCGAGAAGTTTCTTAGAGCAGATATACTAGAAGTTCTCCATTTGAACAAATTACAATTGAATCACAGTATACAGTTTTTTTTCTTATGTATTTATGTGTTCTTTTCCAATATATAACTTGAATAGAGCCTTCTACATCGCTTCTATAAGCAAGAGATCTCTAGAATGCTTACTCATAATTGAATAAACAGTAATCATAAGTGTCACTTCAGTCTTTTTCTAGCATTTTTTTATACTCATTAAAACCTGCTACCATAGTTTAAAGTTCTTATTAAGTACAGAGTGATTATGTCAGAACCGACCTCTTTCAATGGGTTGTAGTATTGTTAAAAAGTTTCCGATTTTAATGCGGTTTGCCGTAAAAGATTCAGAAATGATGAAAATTTAGTGGTGCGTCCCGTTTTTCTTATGTGCGACGCCGAAGAAATAAGAAATAGCGAAAACAGCAACATTCTGCAAAATAACATACAAATACATAGCAAGCTTAACAAAGATGTTCGTTTAATGTGAGACCAAAATTATGATGCGATGCCCTAGCCGGGATTCTAACCTGGACCTCTCGAATATCCGCCTAGGGCGAATACCGCCACTACGAAGGTATAAAATGAGAAATGCCCTTTGATAAGCTTGCTAAAAAATTGGCAAAGTAGATAGGCAGAGGTAGGACAAAGGACATATTGCCAAACGTTAACAAGGAAATCAAGACCCAGCGTGAGTTTCATAATCAAAACACCATAAATGCTTCACAAATATGACATGATAATAAAATAAATTCCAAATTTGGGCTTCCAGATGCTAATCGCGTGGAGACGTACGTTATTCATTATTGGATGGCTCTACGTACCGTTGTTTTATCATTGTGTGATAAACATACATACATTCATGCAGATTCTTCATTATTTAATTTCTTTAAATATAATACAGGACTCTAATATTGGGTGGCAACTATTTAAAAAGTGATTCGCCTTTTATAGTGAATCAACGCAAAATGAAATTGATAGCCCTTCTAGGCTAATAATGTAAGCCATCTCCATGTGGCTATGTAACCTTTCTTTTAATATATGAATAAATGGCATCTGCAGAGATGACGGTATACTCAAAGGTTTATCTCAAGCCAGGTCAGTAATTATTCCTGGCAGTGAAAAGCTATGCCGTCGAATGCTGCTTTAGGCCTGATTATAGTTTTGTATTACTATAACTATAAACTTATGAAACTAATTATCGCGTTATCATGACTTTCATTTCCATCTCCCTTGTACTCCTTCTACACATAATAATATTTATTATGTGTATATATTTATAAAATAATAATTTATATGTATAATTATAAACGGTTTTCGTAATTTCATCATTTTACAATTGGATTATTCTGATGATATTTGTATTATGCCGTTTCTCTTTTCACATAATTTAAGAGTAATAGTTTAAAATATAATTTATGTCCCGCTTTGAGTTTATTTAAATATAAATGAAGCCCATATTTTAATATTTCAATTTAACTATTAGTGAGATTGAAGCTATTAATTTAACTATTAGTGATCTATGCTACTCTAACTCGCGTTGCTTCTGAAACTGAAATGTCACTAACAGATTTTATGATGCTAAATTAATTAATAAATTTTATTGCTGTCTAATACATAAATATTTATTATTAAGGGAAACATATTCTTATGGCTTTATGCATTTTCTAGGCCCTGGTGGCTTGCAAGCTGTACAAGGCCATGGCACAGGAAGCAGCGCAAGACGATATGGAAGCAGACGTTTGTGCAGAGATGAGAAATAATGCCAGGTAGGTTGATTCTTGTTAATCTTGTTAAAAGACAGGTTTCTGCAAAGTTATCTTAGCCGGTATTCATGTTCATCTAAGTATTTTAGTGAAATACTGGTAGGAATTTTTTCTAAAGACTACATAAAAAATTACTTACGTAATATGATTTTTACATTTAATACAACTACGGAGGTATATGCAAAAGTTTCCGATCTCGAATATAAAGTATTGTTTGGCAATAAAGTCTTCTTATAGGCATAGTGGCAATCTATACTATAAAACCTGTGCGGCCCGGTCAGTTTGTTTGTTCGGTGTGTGGCATCATCTCTTCCGGGACGCGTAATGGCAAACCGCACATTGAGTTGATCAATGTTAACGAATTTCGCTTAGTGCGCATGCTTAGTGGCGTACCATTGGCGTAGGAGAAAATAAATACTGGCGACTAAGCAACCCTGCACAAGTCTGTTCTTCATGTTCGACTGTTTACAATACTATGGAAATTTGGTTCAGTTTATTGCATTTGCTTCTGTTTCATTTCAGTTTGGTTTATTTTGTGCATAAACATTACATTTAATATCAGTTAATTATAATAATTTCATTGACTTTAATAATAAATTGACTATAATAATTTCATTGACAGTGATTTAAATGGATTATTCCTAATTTGTTAAAATATACGATTGAAACGTATGGAAAATACTCAATCGCTTTTATTCTCAGAGTACAATCAATAAATATTCAGCTAATATATTTTGCAATGCTTCTGTTTTACAATCTTCTTAAACGAAATTTGCTAATATACAATCGATATTTACACTCTAAGTAATGAAACAATTTACAAACTAACATGTTTTAAAAACCCGAACTGTTTGAACAGAAAATCAACAATATACCGTATTTATCCTCTTTTAAAATTGCGCCAAATTCCCCTCTGGGCATGCGCAGAGTGCGAAATTCGTTTAAAATTGATCAACTAAATTTGCAGTTTGCCATTACGCTTCCGGGACGGCGGGGAACGGAATTTCGAGAGAGGTACTTTCGAATTCCAAAACTTCGTGGGAAATCATTTCGATTATTATCATCTTCGTAAAACTTTAACTGGTGAAGCTACTATTTAAAAACTCTGGAAATGATAATTTTTTCTCAAATTTTCCCAGGTGTCAACACTCTATCACGCTGAATATACAAATCTGATGTATTTCGAGAAGTGCTGCCACTGCTCGCTTTCAGATCATAGTTCGTTAATAAAAAAATCTGATGTGTACACCACATGACTTCCTTGTACGGAATATTAAGTTATACGCAATTTTCTTGCATTTCATTTAAACTTATTGGATTGAATTAAATCTACTTCGCCGACAGCGCATAAACCACAATGGAGTAAATGCATTCTTTAAAATTCACTCTAGTATACATTGCCAGGCAAGTAAAACATTTTCTGAAACTTCCTGTTGTGGAGTGGACTTTACTGTGTTTTTTCATCTATTTAGAATGCATTCCTTAACGTATTCAACATTATACATATATTTTTATTAAGTAAGCTAAATTTTAAATATATCAGATATCAGAAATATTAGGATCATTCCAAGCCTATGTAATATTGCTTATCATCAAATGATTAATGAACTTTTTAAACTTAAACTGCGCATTGAATTTGGAAACTTATGTGAAATTCATGTTTTAACATATTTTACCACTGAATAAAATCAATTTAAAGGGAGGTGCACACCTACTTGTTATAGCAGTCGTATATACAAAATGTCAGCGTTCTAAGTCTGCTCGTTTTTGAATTCTGAGAGATACATACATACATATGCACGAACGTACGTACGAATGCCACAAAAAAAATCTCTTCTGATTTCATTTTAAATCAGTTTTATAATTTTTTGGGGAAAGAGTCCTTTGTTCTGTTCATACGTAGAGATGTCACGCAAAACATCGTTCAATTGCATTCAATAGCTGTCAAAATGGATATTTTCGTTGTAATATGGTACCCGTAATTTTTCGTGATTACAATACTTCCTTTACTTCGTACAAGGAAGTAATAGGTGTGCTGGAAATTCTATTTTATCAGATTTAATATAAAAAATTTTAAATTGCCAGTTGTCTTTAAAAGAAACTTTCATTATTGTTCTCTCTTTAACAAGCCTCGTCAGTGTTAAATTATTCTCAAAGAATTTTGAATCTGATGAAACCGAAATATTAGTTTATGGACTTTATTTAGCCAGGAAAACATTTTCTTCGCTTTTCTGATAAGAACTGCTCTTTCAGACCCCGCGCTATCGAAAAATAGATATTCGATAAATAAAAAAAAAAAGTCTTTTGCACGCATGAAAACATTGATTGCATCTAAAGCTGAGACCATGGAATATAATTTGTTTTATTTTTTTATAATTAAAAGCAATTTTAGTTGCATTTCTTTGGAGGGATAAGTCAGAGTAATTGATTTGCTCTAAAGGAAAATGTAACAGGTTCTAAGGTACAATGTTTTCCTTCTATTAAAAAGGCCTAAATTTGGCTCGCTAATTTAGAGTATCGGCCAAATTATGTACGATATAAAACAACTAGAATTTAAAGATTTAGGAAGAAACAGCACTCGAAAACAGCAAAAGTATCAAAGTTTCAACTTGAACGCTTACAATTTTTCGATAATGGACGGTATCCAATAATGTTAATTACCTAAAATTCAAATACATCCTTTGTCAGAAACGTTCCAGGACAATGGTCGTAAAAAGCGAAAACTGCATTTACCCAAGTAATGATCTTAGCTGCTATCAAAGCAGTCCTCTTCAAGCAAGCAGGTAAATCTTCAACCGCGATGCTTGCAAGCTCATTTGTCAGAGCCAATTGGGATGTCTGCAATAATCCTGATGCAGCTTTCAGTTCCTTCACCTTTTCACTCGGGAAAACAAGAAAAATCGCAATTATCTTTGACGCAAATGGGGCATCACGTCTGGCTGTGTCCAAGTTCAGCACAGATTCTCCGTCTTTCCTCTTTCTGTTCATCAGTAAGTGAGTGAGGCACGATTCTTGCATTAAGTTTCCATTTCCCTCAATCTTCGACACACATCACGATTCTTATGACATTAAAATCTTATGACATACATCACGGTTCAACCTCAGTTCTTCTCATACCATACGCACACTTACACGAAGGTATTCTTGCAATAACTGCCTGAAACGCTCAACGTTTACCTCGGTATGTGCTATAGCCGGGCGACTAGCTCTTGGGATCGTCTTGCACTGAATCTCTGCTTTCACGAAACCTTTTGTACCACTCGAAAATACGACTTCTTGAAAGTGTCTCGCATGCATATTCTTGCTTAATCATGTTCTACTTTTCACTAGTGGTTTTTCCCGAGAGCTTAAAGCAGAACTTAATGTTGGCTCTTTGCTCACAATCAGCATCCATTGTGTCACCTCAACGAATGCGACAACAATCCGAACAGTGTGTTGCTAAGCACAGCCCTGCCACCTAGTAAGTTTGAGTGAAAACATGGCCAAGGGCATGTCAAGTAACATAAAAATAATCATCGTTACATACCAGGTAACATAAAAACAATCATTGTTCTTTTTAGTACTACAAACTCAGAAATAAAAAACATTGTCCTGGGTGTTTTCTGACGAAGGATATAACGGTTGGCCATAATTAAACTGACACTGCTCACAGTGTTCTATAGCGCGATCTGTTTCCGAGAATGATGCCACATTTTGTAGGAATATTAAACCAGACGAGGGACGAAGGATTCCGCGAAAAAAAATAGTTCCAAAAGTCACCGCTAGGGAAATATTTGGCGCTGTGTAATAGAAAATAGAATGTTAACAAATGCAAATCAATACGGAAATTACCTTTTACTTTGCATTCAAATGAGGTTCAATGTTGCTGCCGTTGTTGTGAACCACGTATTGTATTTTGTGCACAGTATGCACACAGCAGAAAGTACATGTCTGCAGGACTCTCCCGTACAGTCCGTGATATGTTTATCCTTCAACGTAGCCAGGTCCTGACCACTCCTTGATAGACTTCGGATTAAGGTAACCCCATATCCAGAAGTCGCATGGGTAAGATCAGGACGAGGGTGGACATTCAGTTGAAAAGTAGCGGCTAATGACTCTTTCTGTTGTGATTTCTGTCGTAGCATCTGTTGCGCCCGTACAGCAACGTGTGGAGGGGCTCCATCTTGCATGAAAATGATTTCCCCCAGGCACTGTCTTTGCTGAAGTACCGGAATGACAAAGCTGTTCAACATGTGGCGATATTTCTCTCCGGTAACAGAACAGGTTTCCGGTCCTGTCGGGATAATGTTCTCATAGAAGAATGGACCTACGATAAATTTTATTCTGCATTAATTTGCATTTGTTAACACTCTATTTTCAGACTTCAGGTTATCAGGCTATCACGGTGGAGACAGCTTCACTGCAAAGCGCCAGAGTACAGCTTCCGACTCTGCTCCGTCGTTCTCGGAACACAGCGCCAAATATTCCCCTAGCGGTGACTTTTGAAACTAATTTTTTTTTGCGGAATCCTTCGTCCCCCGTCTTGTTTAATCTTCTTACAAAATATGGCGTCATTCTCGCAAATAGATCACCCTACAGAACACTGTGAGCACTGTCAGTTTAATTATGGCCACCCGGTATATACCATCATGTAATATCTCTTATTTACAATGCTCGTTGTACAGCAGCTAGAAATTCACATTTAACTAATTACTCTATTTAATTATAATACTGTTACCTAGCTTCTTCTGACACCAATTGTTAAGTTATTTTCTTCCTGCATGTTCGTACGGAGTTCGTAGAATTGAAGTGAATAACGACGACACTTTATGAAGTATCAAAACACACTTTATTTAGTCAGTATAATCAGGACAGCTCCAAAATCACGTTACAGTCGTCGAAGAACTACTATAAACACGCTGACACAATCAGCAACACAGCCTTCAGGTTATCAGGCTATCACGGTGGAGACAGCTTCACTGCAAAGCGCCAGAGTACAGCTTCCGACTCTGCTCCGTCGTTCT